AGATGGACACTCAGGCCGCCTGAGGGTTCAATTTACAGGGTCAATTTTGGTAAAAATGCTAATTTTTACCCAAATGGACTGTTTTCACGGTCAATTTTGACCGTTTCCACGTTTTGTCATTAGTAAAAAAAAATACTGTTTTCACTAATTTGAAAACTGCAGATCAAAACATATCTCTGTTTTCTGTTACGGTCGATATTCTTTGTAAATTATTCAATTTGGCACTTCAAATTGTGTGCAATTTCATTTAATTTCGCTCAAAATTAGCACTCAAGCATAATATTTTAAATAGCTCTCGTAGTTTTGAAACTACATGTCAGATTAGGCAAAATGTGACTCATCTCCATTTTCAATTAATTGCATATTTCCCATATAAAAAGTCGTAATTTAAAACTCCAAATATGTGCAATCACTCTGAATTCCGCTCATAAAATAATGCTCAAGGTATATTTCCGATAGGCATGTTGTAATCCACAAGTTAGGAGTGAATGTTAGCAAGAGAATAATTACTACAACACTTATATTACAACACAAATACTACAACACCCAGTAGGCTCAGGAACCTGTACACCTGTTGATTGACGGTTGAGAGGCGGGACCAAAGAGCCAGAGCTCAACCCCCGCAAGCCACAATTAGGTGAGTACTTAACAAATGGTGAGTAGAAGTACAGGTTAAGTAAATGAACAAATCCACAAGGGCCGTGATGAGGGTTCGAACCTACGTCCGAAAGAATTCCAGACGCGCCTTAATCGACTGTACCACGACATGGAAAAATAATTGCAACCGGCAGTTCAACTTGCCCTCACCCGGATCATGCAGTCTCTCCGAGACACAAACCAGGGTTTTACACAGTGGCACAGTCGATTAAGGCGCGTCTGGGATCCTCTAGGACGTAGGTTCGAACCCTCATCACGGCCCTTGTGGATCTGTTCATTTGATGCATCAAGCTATTGTGATTTGTGTGTACATGTTAAGTATTACACACGATTGGTCACACATCGAGGTCAGGTCAAGGGATTAAGACAGCAGCTGCTTGCCCAAACGTATGTACCAGCCAAGAGGGCGACCTCAAGTTTCTAGAACAAGGTGACCTTCGGTCAATCGGATAATATACTCTCTTTGGGAGGCAGGGTGTAATGGTTGAAGCTATGGCTGTCTGAGGAGAGGCTGTTGGGAGCAGCGGAACTAACAAGTCCTTCTTATCTCCGTCTGTGGCAGCAACGAAGTGGAACTGACAAATATGTGGGGACGCGATGTGATCTTGTTGACCAAGTCAAGTCTGCTGTATGTGAGTATTGAATAGACGACTAACCGGGTGTGAAGCGTTGTAGTGATGATTGAATATTAGGGACACAGGCGGAGGTTACGAGTGCAGGTGGTGACCGGAGAGGTTTAGTGGGTTTTGGGGGATGGGAGGATGATTTAACCAGAGAGTAAGTTAATGTGTTATTCATTGTTAGAGTCTATTTCATGTAATTAAATTGGAAAACCCGACGGCCTTTTATCACCAGCTTCCATGTGTCCTTTCATTGTGTTCCCGTGTGCACCTAGTGGTACGCCTCAAGGGTCTGGTGTCGGTGGTAGTGATGGTTCCTGGGCCAAGGAGCTATAGTTGTGTAATCGTTGTGTTCGGAATGAACCGCAGGTTCACCGATCACGACAAGGCATCCTATTTTGAAAACTTCCGGTCCATTAGGATAAAACCTGACCTATCGCTCTATTCACTAATTTACAAGTTTTAGTTATAAAAACTCGTTAAATTTAAAAACTCGTAATTTAGCGGAATTCAGGGTGTGCAATCACCCTGAATTCCGCTAAAAATAACGCTCAATAGTCATATTTCCGATCGGCATCGAATTTTGAAAACTGGTCAGTTTGGGCAAAGTCTGACCAATCACCGTTTTCACTTATTTGCATAGTTTCGGTATAAAAAGTGCCTAATTTTAAACTCTAAATATGTGCAATGAGCCAGAATTCGGCTAGAAAATAAAGCTCAAGAGTCAGATAATGTGTATCACTATGTATTATATGTATCAGTATGAAGCATACATCAGTTTGTATCACATCTCAGTATGTACCATGTGTCAGTGTGTATCACATGCCAGTATGTATCACTACCAGTATCCAAGCCTCCTGTACAGGTTTGCGGCCTGGGACTGTTAAGGAAGCGACACAGGAAGGTGTGTGTGGGAGGAGAGGGAAGGTGTACTGTGGGAAGACCTGTGGTAGTAATGCGAGTTTTTGAGGTCATGAAAATCATCTTGTTCTATAAAGGACAAAGTATGATAAATATACTTTTTTTTTAATTTTGCGAACATCAGTGCGTAATGTTTTTCAATATGGTAAGGGATGGGAAAGCGCCGAGCCATTACGACTATATAGCACTTGGAAGGTGTCAGGATAACGATTTAGGATGGGACGGGGGAAAGGAATGGTGCCAATAAGGTAAGAAAATATCAACTTTTTCAGAACACCTACAGGGCCGAGCCAGACCCAGAGTCGCCAGGTGTCAGTAAGATTCAGTAAGAATCTGTGTTATGCAGTTTTTCATTTAAATGGTGCTAATACCGACCAGACCATTTTAGGTGCGTACCTGACAGCAGTCACTATGCAAAGTTGGGTGAGGTCAGACAAAAACATGTAGATATAGATAAAACTAATACTAATAGTAATTATCCCTTCCTAAAGCATATTTATATATATTACATTTTTGTTAATGGTTACTAAGACAAAAATATTGATTATCTATTAAGGCTGAGGTGAATGATAAGGCACAAGGGTCACTTACGAGTGGAAGGATAACGTCGTGTCTAGCTCTTATGTACTTGAGATAGTTGAAGGTGTTCAAGGTGGGCATGACGAACCACCTTCATGCCAAGGTGGGCATGAACACCGGGCATGACGTAGTCATGCCCGGTGTTCAAGGTGGAGTGACGTAGTCATGCCCAGTGTTCAAGGTGGTGTGACGTAGTCATGCCCAGTGTTCAAGGTGGAGTGACGTAATCATGCCCGGTGTTCAAGGTGGTGTGACGTAGTCATGCCCAGTGTTCAAGGTGGTGTGACGTAGTCATGCCCGGTGTTCAAGGTGGTGTGACGTAGTCATGCCCAGTGTTCAAGGTGGTGTGACGTAGTCATGCCCGGTGTTCAAGGTGGTGTGACGTAGTCATGCCCAGTGTTCAAGGTGGAGTGACGTAGTCATGCCCGGTGTTCAAGGTGGAGTGACGTAGTCATGCCCAGTGTTCAAGGTGGAGTGACGTAGTCATGCCCGGTGTTCAAGGTGGTGTGACGTAGTCATGCCCGGTGTTCAAGGTGGTGTGACGTAGTCATGCCCAGTGTTCAAGGTGGTGTGACGTAGTCATGCCCAGTGTTCAAGGTGGTGTGACGTAGTCATGCCCGGTTTTCAAGGTGGTGTGACGTAGTCATGCCCAGTGTTCAAGGTGGTGTGACGTAGTCATGCCCGGTGTTCAAGGTGGTGTGACGTAGTCATGCCCAGTGTTCAAGGTAATATAACCTTCACCGAACAAGAAGAACTAAAATTAGCCATTCACAGGCAGCAAAACGATAACGTTAGATATATCATAAACCCAGCAGGCGGGGCGTGATGAGCTAGACCTCACTCCCCGTAGTCACTGTTAGGTAAGTACCGATAGATGAGCACACAAGCAAACGCACACGCACACACAAATAGGCTCAGGAATCTGTACACCAGTTGATTGACGGTTGAGAGGCGGGACCAAAGAGCCAGAACTCAACCCCCGCAAGCATAACTAGGTGAGTACGCACACACACACACACACACACACACACACACACACACACACACACACACACACACACACACACACACACACACACACACACACACACACACACACACACAGGAGTGTGTGTGTTGCTATTGGAGTTCAACACGAGTAAATGTAAAGTTATGGAAATGGGATCAGGTGATAGGAGACCAAAGGGACAGTACACAATGAAAGGGAACTGCCTACCTGTAACGATTCGACAAAGAGACCTGGGAGTGGACGTAACACCTAATCTAACTCCTGAGGCGCATAGAAATAGGATAACGACAGTAGCGTACTCTACACTGACGAAAGTGAGAACTTCATTCAGAAACCTAAGTGAGGAGGCTTTTAGGGCACTGTACACTGCCTACGTGAGACCAGTCTTAGAGTATGCCGCACTATCATAGAGTCCCCACCTGAATAAACACATAAGGAAACTGGAAAAGGTTCAGAAGTTTGCGACGAGGCTTGTCCCAGAGTTACGAGGGATGGGATATGAAGAGCGCCTGAAAGAACTGAACCTTACGACACTAGAAAAAAGAAGGGAGAGAGGGGATATGATAGGAACATATAAAATACTCAGGGGAATTGACAAAGTGGAGATAGATGAAATGTTCACATATAATAGTAACAGAACGAGGGGACATGGGTGGAAACTGGAAACTCAGATGAGTCACAGAGATGTTAGGAAGTTTTCTTTTAGCGTGAGAGTAGTGGAAAATGGAATGCACTTAAGGAACAGGTTGTGGAAGCAAATACTATTCATAATTTTAAGACTAGATATAATAGGGAAATGGGACAGGAGTCACTGCTGTAAACAACTGATCTCTAGAAAGGCGGGATCCAAGAGTCAATGCTCGATCCTGCAAGCACAAATAAGTGAGTACACGCACGCACACCACGGCCATGATAGCGTCGACTATGGCACTACACTGTCCTTTAATATATCTTATCACCATACCCATGGGGTCAAACGATAATCAGCTCGTCGATACACTCGACTGTTGTGGCCACCAGTGGTGTCCCTTTGACGCATTCCACCCACTTCCTGCCCACCAAACTTTACCTGCAGTATTATGCACTATGTTTATTGAACTGTGTTGCCACACAAGCCCCATGCTCTAATATGCGAGGCGTATTATCGTTCCTTTCAAAATAGAAACTCAGAGCTGGCAACAATGTTTCGTAAAGACTGTTATCTTTATATAAATTTGGATCCGTGTGGCGAGGGCTGTTGAGACGGTGCCCCTTGGTGGAGAGTGATGTCAAGCACCAGGTGCACGGCCCGGTCACTGCCGGACGTCGGGGCCTCAGCTACTCAACTGTTATTGTGCAAAACTGACGTTGAAATATTCTAAGGTTGAGTTTTTTGTGGAAAAAAGTTCGAAAGGGACAGTAGATAGTTTCTTGTGAAATTCAAGATCATATTTAACCTATCAGATAATCTCTCAAATTCTCACCGACACGGCGATCTTCCACGCATAGTCTACTGTTCAACTTCACCGTAACGTCACCGTCGAGCTGCACCGTAGTCATCGTCCCGCTACACCATAAAGTCACCATCCAGCATCACCATGAAGTATACGCATAACAAAGGTACAGCCATGCACTGGAAAATACTATTTCCCTGTTTATGCTCTTAACTCTTCACTCTTTCCTTGTAAATAGCTCTAGATGTGCCCCCAGGGTCGAGCTCCAGCTCCCGACTCCCGTCTCTTAAGTTATATATATGGCTTAGAGCAGCAACTTATATTCTCTAACATATTTAGAAACTTTGCATGGTGCATTCTCTGGAGGTTCCCACTGCTTGGTGTGTGTGTGTGTGTGTGTGTGTATTCACCTAGTTGTGCTTGCGGAGGTTGAGCTCTGGCTCTTTGGTCCCGCCTCTCAACTGTCAATCAACTGGTGTGCAGATTCCTGAGCCTACTGAGCTCTATCATATCTACATTTGAAACTGTGTATGGCGTCAGCCTCCACCACATCACTTCCTAATGCATTCCACCTGTTAACTACTCTGCCACTGAAAAAGTTCTTTCTAACGTCCCTGTAGCTCATTTTGGGTACTCAGCTTCCACCTGTGTCCCCTTGTTCGTGTACCACCCGTGTTAAACAGTTTATCTTTATCTACCCTGTCAATTCCTTTGAAAAAATGTTAGGTAGTAATCTTCTTAATCGATTAATTCTTAATCTTCGGTAGTAATCTTTTTTAGGTAATAATCTTCCACACACACACGTGTGTGTGTGAGTGGTGTGTGTGTGTGTGTGTGTGTGTGTGTGTGTGTGTGTGTGTGTGTGTGTGTGTGTGTGTGTGTGTGTGTGTGTGTGTGTGTGTGTGTGTGGTTATCTATTTCTGTGCTTGTGTGTGTGCATTTACTAAATTCGTGTTTACTTTCACTACACATCATAGGTATCTAAAGTCTGGAACAATTACTCCTGCCTTCTAATGCTTTATTATATCTGCTTTTAAGAGTGTGAATGGAGATAGTCTACACTTCCAGTTCCATACGTATGTGTGAAGAACACGCCAGTTTTTCCTCCAGTTCATTTACTTTGTTTAACACTCACCTGTATTTTAAGTTTCCAACTGTGCTCTGTTATAATGTTCCCTCGTGGTCGAGACAGGTAGCGTTTGTCTACTGTCTCTTTCTAAGTGTGTGTGACTGTATGTATATTCTAAGTTTGTGTGTATGCAGGGATAGTAGTAGATATACAGTCACCCTACACGGGGGTCTTAAGCAAGTATTCTGTATGTGATGAATCAAATATTCCCTTCACGAATGAATCGTGAGAATGGTATCACTCCTGCAGGAGTGAGAGGAACCAAGTGGACGTGTTGCCAGGTGGTATTCCTGTTCCTGGGCTCCGCCTCTGCAATCTTTGCGATAGTGATGCTGGCGGGGGAGTACCAGGAGCTCTTCGACGCCATCCTGCATTCCGTAAGCTGCTTACACTCATTTCTCGCCCTTATGTGTGGTTTGTTTCCAGCTCTGAGAACAGATAACTAAAAAATATATGTTCTATGTGGTGTTATGAAAGAACCAACGGTCCTTCGGAGCCACTGTGCTGGAGGTCAGTTAGGTCTGGAACAGGAGACTAATATATTATCAAACACGGTCAATTGGCCCTACACCAATAATATAATTTTTATTCAGTGTACTGTTGATATATTTAAGTAACAGAAGAAACTGAGACTCAAGGAAACTACAGAACGTCTAATGGTCATAGCGAAACAGCTGGTTATATCTTCCCAAGCTCATGTATGTCTAACCTACACTTGAAGCAATTCAGTGATTCAAAGTCAATTATGTTACCCGATAAATTTGTTAACAAAAATAAGCCACCATATTTTTAACCCGGTATTTAACCAAGTCTTTCCTGATTCTAAATTTATCCCATTTATATCAGATGTTTAATGTTCTATTTTGTGTTGATATTTTGACAATTTTATTTATATCCCCTTTTGTTATACCGTTCACCCGTTTATGCATTTCATCCGAGGCGTTTTATATCACACTTCTTATCTCGGTAGATTCGCAAAAATAAACTATTTCCAGACATTATTTGCTTTCATAGTAATCTTAAATAAGACTAGCTATTGTATGAGCGAAGCAGTACAATAACAGTTGGTGTTCTCTCTATGATCAGACACAACGTACGTCGCCCTGGCCTGGGAACGCTCTTTTATTCGCTTATTTATCTATATCTCATATATCCATCAGTGCCTGAGGCTCTAGTAACCAAAATTATCTTCGACTCTAAAGTGCTTAACATAAATCAGCACTTATAATACTAAGTGCTGATTAGTCTTACACAACACTCGGCTTCCTAACTGATAGCTTGGAGTATGTTAAGTATTAAATCACTACACATCTCAGGTGTACTCTATATATATACAACTCTGTACTGAAATGCTAATTTTAACTTTAAACGCTTCCTAGAGAGCAGTAACAGAACTAATGGGCACCACACGAGAAACAAATATATTTTTGATGTTCCAAGAGTACGACTTAAACAAAGCAGAAATGTTATGTAAGAATGTAAATTCAACTTAATTTCTATGTTCTCTGTTACCTCCCAATGTACCTTCTTATATATAAATAAATAACAAATGAAGCGTCTCAAACTATGGAATGGAATTAAAGACTGTTCTTCTCTCAACCCAATTGAACGAGAAACTTAGACCTGCCAAATTATTTATACGGGAACTCACTTTACTCACCACTTTTCCTCCTACATGTCAGTCTATGTTTTGCTGTAATTGTGAACATTAATAACTAAACCTGTTATGTTATTAAAAACTGACATGTCACTATTTAATTAAAAATGGTATATGATCTGTTTAATCATTTCTTCAGTTTAAAAATACTTGCTATTGCACTGTTGCAATATTTACAATTTACAGATATTACCTAATTTTTTTATATAATTCAAAAAATCTTTTCTTCAATCCATAACTATTATCCAGCCACATTTAGTTTTTAAGAATTACGTCATTAAGCCTGCGTGTCGTTCTAATATTTTTGTTAAGGCTGAAACGTTGTGCGTATTACTGGCTCTTAGCCACTGTACTTATGACTCCTTCACTCTTATGTACCGTACGTATGTGTGTAATATTCCTTAAATAAACATTACAATAATACTAATTATTATTATTATTATTATTATTATTATTATTATTATTATTATTATTAACAACTCTCGTCACTCTGGAAGCAAATGGAGATTGAAGACGGGTCTCGGGCGTACGATATCTGGCGCCTGACGCCCGTGCCACTCTTCCTCCGCTTCTACTTCTTCAACATCACCAACCCGGAGCAGTTCCAGCAGGGAGACAAGCCCATCCTTGATGAGGTGGGACCCTACACCTACAGGTGAGTCAGTGGGGCGAGCACCTACAGGTGAGTCTGAGAGGGAAGCACCTGCAGGTGAGTCTAAGAGGGACGCACCTACAGGTGAGTCAGTGGGGCGAGCACCTACAGGTGAGTCTGAGAGGGACGCACCTACAGGTGAGTCTGAGAGGGACGCACCTACAGGTGAGTCTGAGAGGGACGCACCTACAGGTGAGTCTGAGAGGGAAACACCTACAGGTGAGTCTGAGAGGGAAGCACCTACAGGTGAGTCTGAGAGGGACGCACCTGCAGGTGAGTCTGAGAGGGAAGCACCTGCAGGTGAGTCTAAGAGGGACGCACCTACAGGTGAGTCAGTGGGGCGAGCACCTACAGGTGAGTCTGAGAGGGACGCACCTACAGGTGAGTCTGAGAGGGACGCACCTACAGGTGAGTCTGAGAGGGACGCACCTACAGGTGAGTCTGAGAGGGAAGCACCTACAGGTGAGTCTGAGAGGGAAGCACCTACAGGTGAGTCTGAGAGGGACGCACCTGCAGGTGAGTCTGAGAGGGAAGCACCTACAGGTGAGTCTGAGAGGGACGCACCTGCAGGTGAGTCTGAGAGGGAAGCACCTACAGGTGAGTCTGAGAGGGACGCACCTACAGGTGAGTCTGAGAGGGAAGCACCTACAGGTGAGTCTGAGAGGGACGCACCTGCAGGTGAGTCTGAGAGGGAAGCACCTACAGGTGAGTCTGAGAGGGAAGCACCTACAGGTGAGTCTGAGAGGGACGCACCTGCAGGTGAGTCTGAGAGGGAAGCACCTACAGGTGAGTCTGAGAGGGACGCACCTGCAGGTGAGTCTGAGAGGGACGCACCTGCAGGTGAGTCTGAGAGGGACGCACCTACAGGTGAGTCTGAGAGGGAAGCACCTACAGGTGAGTCTGAGAGGGACGCACCTACAGGTGAGTCTGAGAGGGAAGCACCTACAGGTGAGTCTGAGCGGGACGCATCTGCAGGTGAGTCTGAGAGGGACGCACCTACAGGTGAGTCTGAGAGGGACGCACCTGCAGGTGAGTCTGAGAGGGACGCACCTACAGGTGAGTCTGAGAGGGACGCACCTACAGGTGAGTCTGAGAGGGACGCACCTGCAGGTGAGTCTGAGAGGGACGCACCTGCAGGTGAGTCTGAGAGGGACGCACCTGCAGGTGAGTCTGAGAGGGACGCACCTACAGGTGAGTCTGAGACTGAAGCACCTACAGGTGAGTCTGAGAGGGACGCACCTGCAGGTGAGTCTGAGAGGGACGCACCTACACTGAGAGGGACGCACCTACAGGTGAGTCTGAGAGGGACGCACCTGCAGGTGAGTCTGAGAGGGACGCACCTACAGGTGAGTCAGAGGGGAAAGCTGTGGTTGCTGCGGCTCATGCGTTGCTGAGCCACAGCAACCTTCCCTGTTCCCCAGTCATCCCTACCATTTCCCCCCTCACCCGTCTCCTCGGCCTCCCAACCATTTCCCACTCCACCCTCTTCCTTCCCACCATGCCCCACTCCCCTGTCCCTTTCTCCTCCCCCACCATTCTCCATTCCCCCATCCCCTCGTCCCCACCATCTCAAACTCTCCCGTCCCCTCGTCCTTCCCCACCATTACCCCTTCACTTGTGCCCTCGTCCTCCCCACCATCTCTCACTTCCGTCCCCACCATTCCCCACTCCCTCGTCCGATGCCATCCCAAATGGTCTGATGTTCCCATCAGAAAATTGGGAACATCAAGTGATCTGATGTTCCCATCACTGAAATATAAGAAAAACAGTTAAAAATGAAATGAAAATATGAAAAAATAAATAAATAAACTATACTCATGAAATGAACGGTCTGGTAAACAACACAGCTCAATTCCAACGCAATTCACACAAAATAATTAAATCAAAATGAAAATAAATCAAAATCTATGAAAATTCAATTTATCAATGCAATCAGAAACATTGAAATGGAATTGTAACATATTTAGTATAGCATGTGTGTTGCTCTTACATGCAACAGATGGCGCTGTTTTTCAAGAAAAGCATAGTTTTACCTGTCACAGGTGTGGCATCTATACTTATACTTACGAAATGAACGGTATGGTAAACAACACAGCTCAATTCCAACACAATGTCACACAAAATAATTCAATAAAAAATAAAATAAATCGAAATCTATGAAAATAAAATTTATCAATGCAATCGGAAACATTGAAATGGAATTCGTGACATATTTAGTATAGCGTGCATGTTGCTATTATGTGCAACAGATGGCGCTGTTTATCAAAAACGCATGTTTTTACCTGTCACATGGGTGGCATCTATATAGTAGGTATATAAAAGGACGCGCCTATTCGAATGCAACGTTGTGTCAAAATTTCAAAGCAATCGGTGAAGAACTTTCGGAGATTAGCGGTTATGCACAAACGAACATTTCCATTTTTATTTATATAGATTCATGGCGGAGTATACATTCAATAGACATACACTCTATACATTCAATACTACACTCTCCATTCATTCAGAAGAACTACACTCTCATACATTCAATAAAGAAAATATACGTTCACAAGAAATGAAAAACTATAGGAACCGTTGTTCTTCCCCAAACAGAGAGTACCACGAGAAGCAGAACCTGACGTTCAACACGAACCAGACGGTGACGTACTACCAGCAGCGGTGGTGGGTGTGGGACCAGGAGGCCTCGGGCAACCTGAGCCAGGACGACATCATGGTCAGCCTCAACACCGTCCCTGTGGTGAGCCCTCGACCTGCTCCACGCTGTTGGTCAGGTCGCTTTGTGTTCTGATCGTCTTGAGGTCCTGTGGCAATATTACCAGCGGGGCACCTTACCTCTCCCTATTACCAGAGGGACGCCTCAACAACTGAGGGACGCCTCAACAACTGAGGGACGCCTCAATAACATAGGGACACATCAACAACAGAAGGATATAGCAACAATAGAGACACATCAACAACAGAGGAATATAGCAGCAATAGGGACACATCAACAACAGAGGAATATAGCAACAATAACATAGGGACACATCAACAACAGAAGGATATAGCAACAATAGAGACACATCAACAACAGAGGAATATAGCAACAATAGGGACACATCAACAACAGAGGAATATAGCAACAATAGGGACACATCAACAACAGAAGGATATAACAACAATAGGGACACATCAACAACAGAGGAATATAGCAACAATAGGGACACATCAACAACAGAGGAATATAGCAACAATAGGGACACATCAACAACAGAAGGATATAGCAACAATAGGGACACATCAACAACAGAGGGATATAGCAACAATAGGGACACATCAACAACAGAGGGATATAGCAACAATAGGGACACATCAACAACATAGAGACGCATCAAAAAACAGTCAGCTCATCCCCCAATCTCTTGCAACAGTCTGCTTATCCGTGACACATCAACAACAGAGGAATATAGCAACAATAGGGACACATCAACAACAGAGGGATATAGCAACAATAGGGACACATCAACAACAGAGGGATATAGCAACAATAGGGACACATCAACAACAGAGGGATATAGCAACAATAGGGACACATCAACAACAGAAGGATATAGCAACAATAGGGACACATCAACAACAGAGGAATATAGCAACAATAGGGACACATCAACAACAGAGGGATATAGCAACAATAGGGACACATCAACAACAGAGGGATATAGCAACAATAGGGACACACCAACAACAGAGGGATATAGCAACAATAGGGACACATCAACAACAGAAGGATATAGCAACAATAGGGACACATCAACAACAGAGGAATATAGCAACAATAGGGACACATCAACAACAGAGGAATATAGCAACAATAGGGACACATCAACAACAGAGGGATATAGCAACAATAGGGACACATCAACAACAGAGGGATATAACAACAACTCCTCCAACAGTCTGCCGCGTGGAGTGTGCGCGGCCAAACGGCACTCCTCTCCGGACTCAACCTTGTTTTCCAGTACCTGGGCGAAGAACTAACCGTGAAAGCAACGGTTCGAGACACGTTGTTCAACGGCTACACGGTGAGTCTTGCGTCTCACAGGTTCTTCTCTCTGGCTACCCGTGTTTAACGGGTACACGATGAATCTTGCGTCTTACAGGTTCTCTCTGGCTACCCGTGTTCAACGGGTACACGGTGAGTATTGGAAAAAGAAAAAACTATATTTCAGAGATCTTTCGTTTATTTTATTTTTCCACGGAAAGTTAGTCGTATATTTATAAGGATTGTTTATGGCCGAGGTCTTGCATTGTACAAAGTATTCATCATGACGTCCAACTGCGCCTGTACCTCTTAGGCACCCTCACGCTTCTGTATAGTACTCATTGAAACCATTACCAATAACTTCAGCTAAAAAGTCTTTGGTTTAAAGTGCAGACAACGATACTCAGAAACTCCGCCATGAGAATAGATTGAATTCAAGATGACGTGTCGCCTGTTAAGACTTTGTCAAGTCACATTTGGTTAACACTTAGAGGCGATATATTGTATCCAAATTAAGCTTGCTCTTAACTTGCTGGTTCTCTCCCTATATATATATATATATATATATATATATATATATATATATATATATATATATATATATATATATATATATATATATATATATATATATATATATATATATATATATATATATATATATATATATATATATATATATATATATATATATATAAAGCATCAATTCAGGATTGTGATACAGGGCAGCAAGCGTGACGAGTTTTAACGTGATAGTTGGCGGCTGTTGTTGTTGTTGTTTTAGAGTCATCCACTCGGAACTAAAAACTCCAAGTAGCACGGGATATGGTGAGCCCGTAGTGGACTTTAGTTGATGGTGTTCAGCTCGTCCTGACGCGTCTTAACGTGATAGTCGACGGTGAATTACTCCTTCTGTGTTTCGCTCCGGCACAGGACCCGCTCCTGGACTGGATGCAGGATTACGTAGTGGTGAACGGCTCCATCAACCCCATCCTGCCTCCTGGGATCAACTTTCCTCCTGGTCTCATTGACTACGACAAGTTCGGGTGGTTCTATAAGGTCAGTGAGCTGGTCGACAACCTTAGTCACGTGTTGTGTCTAATGCAATGCTTCTTCTTAAAAACAAAGCTTTAAACCCTACTCTCTTGTGCACGTTTCTATTTTGGTACTAAACGACGGGGTGTTCTTCCCGATGTGTTTTTTTTTTGTGACACGCAGAAGTAACAGTTTCCTCGGTCACTGTCTAGATACATGTAGATATACGTACTTGTCGACAGGGAAGGGAATTGTCAGGGGAAAGCGCCAAGCCATTACGACTATATAGCACAGGATGAGGGATGGGACGGGGGGGGGGGGAAGGAATGGTGCCCAATCACTTGGACAGTCGGGGGATTGAACGCCGACCTGCATGACGCGAGACCGTCGCTCTACCGTCTAGCCCAAGTGGTTGGGATTACTTGTCGACAGATGAAGTAAATTTTTGTTTTGTTTTGCTTTTTGCAGCGTAACTTATCTGTGACGTACGACGGCCTCTACAACATGTACACTGGGCAAGACTCTCTCGACAATTTAGGTAAGCAGCGCGGAGCTTCCACCCTTCTCTTCCCACTCTCAAATCCCTATAGATTGGTTCCTCGCTACATGTATATACTGAGAGCCAATTTAATTCGAATGCAAAAACACGAGATCCTTGTAAACTCGTGTTTGTAATATATTTATCCTTGGTGGAGGATTAGTGATTTTATCGAAGTTCTGCTTGACTCGAGCACTCTAGGTTACGTTACAATCACTCTAGGTTACGTTACAATCATTTGGTGTCTTGTTCATACTGACTCCTGTCTTCCCGGACGCTGCCTCGCCCCCAACAGGGAAAATCGACTGGTGGAACAGGGAGCAGAACACGTCGTTCTTCGACTACCCGTGCAACAAAGTTACGGGGTCCGCGGGCGAACTGTGGCCTCCAGGCTTGCAGAAGGACTTCGTTGAGTTCTACAGCTCCGACTTGTGCATGTGAGTACGCGTGTCCATATGGACAATCACTACCCAAGTCAACATTGTAAAAAATGGACGTGTTTTGGGGAATATCTATCACTGTGCTAGTTATTCAGAACAGTTACATGACTTTTGGTCTTAATGATTACGCTGGTCTTGGCAGGAGTGTGACGTTGTTTTACAAGGAGGAGGTCACCGACGCTAACGGCCTGCCCGGCTACCGCTACTGGGCCACCAACCATACATTCGCTAATGGTAGTGTCATCCCTGGCAACGAGTGTTACTGCGTCAAAAACACGTGTGCCCCTACAGGTGAGACCCTAACACCTGCCTCTATGTGGTGCAGCTGACATCTCACTACACACCTGCTTTCTCATTAAACACCTGATCTTTCACAAGACAACTGAAGTCTAGGCAGCTAACCTCTCACTAGACTCTTGACCTCAGAATGAACTGCCGAGGGTTCACTAAAACAATTTTCCCTCGTGCTTTCCTCTCACTCCTCGTCCGTTCCTCACTTCCCTTCATGTATCCTCACTTCCCCTCATTCATTCTTCACTCTCCCCTCATGTAACCTCACTTCCCCTCATGTAACCTCACTTCCCCTCATGCATTCTTCACTCTCCCCTCATGCATTCCTCACTTCCCCTCTCATACATTCCGTCTCATGCACTCATCATTCTTCCCTCATCAGGCCTGCTGAACGCGGAGTCGTGCCGCATGGGGGCCCCGGCCTTCATCTCCTTCCCCCACTTCTACAACGCTGACCCCTTCCTCATGGACGGCGTTGAGGGCCTCACACGTGCCGACCCCGACCAACACGCGTTCTATATGGACCTCATACCGGTGAGAAGCTCCTTGTTTCATACCGGTGAGAACCTAGTTGCCTACTGGTCAAAGCCTCCTATGACCTGGTATTGTGAGGGTAAAGACCTCCGGGGTCTCACAACGGCAAGAACTTCCGGGCCTCAGAAGGCTAAGAAACTCTTGAGCCATCAGCCAGGTTATAGATCACACACAAGTAATAAATACAGCAAACTCACACATACTATCATGTTTGTTCCTCATGCAGCATGTTTCCCCGCAGGAGGTCGGGACGCCCATGCAGGTGGCGGCCAGGATGCAGATCAACATGCACGTCATCCCGTACAAAGGAAAACCGTTTGTGCACGTGGGAAAAATCGAGTAGGTTGATCCAATTCACGTGAGCTCTGGTTTGCAGGGACGGATTATTAGCCGTTAAATGTAGTTGATTTCCTTTCTCATGTTTCTTATCATATTTACATTTAATATTGTTTATTAAGGTTGCTTTATTTACACCTTCTGAACTATGTCACGTATTTGACCACTCTTACGCTGTAGAATATATTTCTCACCTCTGTGAAGTTTATTTACGTCGCCAGTTATACCAAACTTTCAACACGGCTTCATTGCGTCATTTGTCTCTTGTCCTTAGTCTTTATCCTGTTTCTCTCTTCCCCCGGTGTGGTGAGGTCCAGTTCCCTGAGGGTGTCCGCGTACCTCCAGCCCCTTACCTCAAGAACCAGCTTGGTTGTATATCTTAGGACCTTTTCTACATTTGTTTTGTGTATTTTCAGGTTTAGGTTAGCTTAAGGAGCATATTGAAGGAGACGGGGATCTCTGCTAGGTGGTGTACAGCTTTTGGAAAGTTACATTATCAGTGTGAAAGTTGAACGTCAGCTCCTAGACCCATCTTTTCCAGCAATCGCTTGATTGGTTGATTGATACAATGATTCTGTCTTTGTATTTTTTTGTATATAATCTTTTGAAGTTTTATTAAGTATTAAAGTTTCCTTGAAATCTGTCCTTCACATAAACCGTCAGCACATGATCAAGAAAAGTTGTCACTCCTTACACCATTCATGTACTGGCCTCTCCATTATTATATATATTATTCCCCTTTTCTCCCCATTCTTATCTCTGAGTTACCCTGCTGACGGTGCAACACAATCAGCATTAACACTAACAACTATGTTCTTCCTCCCGCGTCCGCCAGTATTCTGAGCGAGGTGTCGGAGGTGTACCTGCCCTTGCTCTGGTTCGAGGAGACGGCCGCCATGCCTCCCGATTTGGCCAAGCAACTCAAGGCTCTCCTCTTCATCATGAACACCCCGACGGTGACCATCATATTGTCTGTGATCCTGGCGCTCGGCCTCCTCACCGTCGCCATCATCTTCGCCATCCACTGGAGACGAAGCAAGCGGAATTAACAGATGGTGACGAGTCTTGGAGGTCAGGAGAGCGCTTGGTGAAGAGTTCGGCTGGAAACTCCTGTCTTTTGCAGCTTGGGGTTCAGGCTTGGGGTGTGTTCTTTACCGTTCACCTGCAAGAAGCGAGTGAACACTATTGTTCAGCCGCAAGGGGAGCAAGAACACTAACACTGCTGAATGCTGCAACACTATTTTTAGTGCACTTAAAAAGCAATATTCATCCACCAGCGTACCTTCATCCACCAGTGTGAGCTATGTGTTGTGACGTACGTACGTCACCAGTGAGACGTACCTCGGGGTAGCTGAAGTGTTGTGACGTACCTCGGGGTTAGCTGACGTGTATGTTGGCTAGCTGGTGTGTTGTGACGTAAGCTGATATGTTGTGACGTAAGCTGATGTGTTGTGACGTAAGCTGATGTGTTGTGACGTAAGCTGGTGTGTTGTGACGTAAGCTGATATGTTGTGACGTAAGCTGATATGTTGTGACGTAAGCTGATGTGTTGTGACGTAAGCTGATATGTTGTGACGTAAGCTGATATGTTGTGACGTAAGCTGATGTGTTGTGACGTAAGCTGATGTGTTGTGACGTAAGCTGGTGTGTTGTGACGTAAGCTGATATGTTGTGACGTAAGCTGATATGTTGTGACGTAAGCTGATATGTTGTGACGTAAGCTGATATGTTGTGACGTAAGCTGATGTGTTGTGACGTAAGCTGATGTGTTGTGACGTAAGCTGGTGTGTTGTGACGTAAGCTGATATGTTGTGACGTAAGCTGATATGTTGTGACGTAAGCTGGTGTGTTGTGACGTAAGCTGATATGTTGTGACGTAAGCTGGTGTGTTGTGACGTAACCTGGGGGTTAACTGAGGTGTAGACTGTTACCCTTGACGTATAACGAGTGCCCGACTCACAAGTGTAAATTGCAAAATATTAATTATTGAATAGTGACTAATGTAGACTATTCATAGTGTACACTGTTAATATTTCAGGCTTACTATAAAATAAACAATTTAAAATATTCATTATTGAATTAATAATTTAGCCCATAATTTATTTTATCTATTATTACTAATTCTGGTTTGCCGTGGTGTAAAAGTCTTAAAATCCATGGATACACTTTCAGTTGTTTTGAGTAGGCCTTTACTAATGTTGTATTAGAGTGAGATTGGCTCGTGTATGTTCTGTAAGGCTTGGATTGGTGCTCTTATAAATGACCTACTGAGCCTTGTGACCCATGTGTGATGGGCGGACCACGACCGATTGGTCCAGTATGGCCACTCAGCACTTGGAAGGGATAGGTTGGCAAAGCATATGCTTTTAACGAGGGCGTTGGTTATATCCTTTGAGCAGCCTGAGGGCAGCAATATACAGAGAACTCCATCATAGTAATGTGAAGGCCCACACACACACATATATCTAGTGGTCTTCCAGTAAGGTCAGCAGGGATCTAGACGTTACTAGGCGTAGACTCAGCAGCAGGGACCTTTGGGAGTTGGCCTCACTTGCTGAGGTAGATCTGAGCGAGTGTAAACTCCGTCAGAAGAACTATTCACATAGCGTCACTGTGTAATTGAACGTCACCAAAATCCATGAATTAAGAGACAAATTGTAAACACCGATGTTCAAGAATTGTTCATGTGTTTTATAAGAGATGACACATTACCCAAAACCCTAGTCAAGTAAGTGAACCAAGTTGGCCTATTGGAGATCGTGACATACTGTCTGTAACCTCTCATTGACTGTAATTAGACAGCTACCTTTGTAACGTAATCACAGATTCGATGTAAATAAAAAAATAACGTCGATACAGCGTCGTATTGGCGTTGCTCTTGAATGTTGGGGCCAGTGAGCTGGGGTCCAGAACCTGAGCCCATTATGACGGAAACTTTTCCACCACCGCCCAAAGGATGACTGTCGAGTTCATAATATGCTTATTCAATTTAAAACTAGCATTGAAGGACTGTATGTATGCAAGTGTAATGAACAAAAACTAGACTGGGAAAAAGTAGGGACTTCCTCCATTAATAATTTTAAAAGCAGATATAACAACAAGGGAGGTTAGGGAGGTTTTACATTACAATATTAGCGCATCAATATTAGGGAGCCTGTCGGCCGAGCGAGCACGCTGGACTTGTGTTCCTGTGGTCCAGAGTTCGATCCCAGGCGCCGGCGAGAAACAATGGGTAGTTTCTTTCACCCTATGCCCCTGTTACCTAGCAGTAAAATAGGTACCTGGGTGTTAGTCAGCTGTCACGGGCTGCTTCCTGGGGGTGGAGGCCTGGTCGAGGACTGGGCCGCGGGGACACTAAAAAGCCCCGAAATCATCTCAAGATAACCTCAAGAAGATCAACATTTAGCAAGGCGAGGAACAGCAGATGAAAATAGGTCCAACAAGCTGCTTGCTATCTAAGCACACACACACACACACACTAGGTGAGTACATACACACACACACACACTAGGTGAGTACATACACACACACACACACTAGGTGAGTACATACACACACACACACACTAGGTGAGTACATACACACACACACACACACACTAGGTGAGTACATACACACAGACACATAGAAACACGAGCTATGAGGGCGGGGTGGTTGTTCAGCGTGAGGTGAGACATTGCTGGTCTAGTGCTGCTGCACCAGACCACCACCACCACCACCACCGCGCCTGACAGCTGAGTCGACAGCGCTTCGGGAGGCGGAGACAAATGGGTAAAATTCACCCTGATGCCCCCTGTTACCTAGCAGTAAATAGGTACTTGGGAGTTAGACAGCGGCTCCGGGCTGCTTCTTGGGGGTGGAGGCCTGGTCGAGGACCGGGCCGCGGGGACACTAAGCCCCGAAATCATCTCAGGATAACCTCAAGATAGATAACCACCACCACCTCTGAACACGTCCAGCACCACCTCCACTAGAAGCACCTTTTCCATTCCTGTCGGTGACATATATTGTAGGTTGTATATTGTAGGTTGTGATAACGTTATGTTACTTCCCTCATGCTGGCGCTGTTACCGTGTTGACGAGCGCCTCTGGTGGTACTCTTGCAATTATATCCACTCTCAAAACTTTTCTCTTATCAATTCCTGCAGTTACCTTCCCCTTGTGGTGTAGATTCCTTCTGGTCTCCTTTCTCCCTTAACCATCTTCATTACCTTACACTTGCTGTGAGTTAATTCTAACAGCCATTTGTCTACCAACTCCTGGATTTTGTCAAGGAGTTCTTTTTATTTTTGTACGGTTCTGGATTTGTATATTAATGGTGTATCAGCTACGAATATTGAAATGCACGAGCCGACTCCCTCGGGGTAGATCACCTGTATAAATGTGGAGCAACACTGCCCCAAGACCCAGACCTGCGTTACCGTCGCTGGCCCCGGCGTGTGGTCATGACCTGCTGACCTCCCCCCCCCCCAGGAGGCAACCCACAGATGGGGAGGTTCAACCCCCCCCCCCACCAACATGCATAGAACATTGCCAAATAGTTCATTGGAAATAGTTTCCCATTGTCAACTGTCATGTATTTACAAGCGTCAGTTATTCCACTGTAATTCATTCTTCATTGCCAGTTTTCTGCTAGCAAGTTACGCAGGTACGATTAACATTGGTACATTTATTCTATTGTTATTATTACCAATTATTAGCTATTAAGTTACAGACGTACTGTTATGGTCGGTACATTTAATTTATATTTGTTATTGTATAATTATTCACTAATTTACTTAACAATTAAGTAATAAATTTACATTCACATTCTAAGTTAGCGTTTGGCTTGACCCAGAAGCTGACCCGCTAAACAGGACCATGGACCGAGGGCGGCGGGCACCTGGAGATCTTATCGAACTTTGATTAACATTATCCTGTATCCACAATTAGGCCTTCCTTGAGGAGGCCTAATGCGTCGTTCACGTCCCGGTGCAGACGGGAGGTGGCCGAGTGGGTGAAGATCAGCAGTGTTGGGAAGGAAAGGGAAGGGGCGAGGACGGATGGGCCAGGTTCGTGGCACCAGCGCGCGCAAACCCTTCCCTGTTACAGCGGTGACCGCGTCCCGCTCAGGGAGTGACCACTCAGTGGCCACTCGCGTCTCGCAATGGTGACACCACGGTGGTGACCCCCTCGTCCCTCAGTGGTGACTCCTCCCGTCTCGCAGTGGTGACTCCTCCCGTCTCGCAGTGGTGACTCCTCCCGTCTCGCAGTGGTGACTCCTCCCGTCTCGCAGTGGTGACTCCTCCCGTCTCGCAGTGGTGACTTATATACTCCGTGGTGGTGACTTATATACTCCTTGGTGGTGACTTATATACTCCGTGGTGGTGACTTATATACTCCGTGGTGGTGACTTATATACTCCGTGGTGGTGACTTATATACTCCGTGGTGGTGACTTATATACTCCTTGGTGGTGACTTATATACTCCGTGGTGGTGACTTATATACTCCTTGGTGGTGACTTATATACTCCTTGGTGGTGATTCACAAGCCTCAGTGGTGTGTCGTGTTCCTTGGTGGTGGGTCGTATGTGTCATACAGCAGCGATGGAGACCTCTCAAGACACCGACAAGCTGCTCCAAGGTAGGGACACCGCCCCAGTTACTCTCCGATCATCCCCGCGGACATAATCTGTCTTTGTATCGCCCCAGCGTACACAAGGGCCAGGATTTGTCAAGCACTTAAGTGTAGCTTACGAAACCTGTTTATCTTTCATCAATCATGTCGGATTAGTTTACATTTATTTAACAGTTTTAGAGCTCAGAAGCGCTACGATGTTGGCAATAACAATAATAACTTTGGGATGTGAAGTTTCCGACCTCGTAAACTGTTTAATAAATAAAGACTAAGGCGCCATGATCGGCGGAAGATCTACATGTTTCGTAAATAGGACATGTTAATAGGACAAATCTTGGCTCAGGACACTACCACTCTTTGTATAAATGGCCATAATCGCCGTCACTAAGACACACACACGTACCTCAGACCTGAGGTCACCGAAGGTCAATATGTCTCCAGACGGTGATAAGACAGAGTTGTTACCAAGGTTATCAACTTCACTATCACTCAGGACTACCGCAGATTACGAAGTTGTTATTGTTGTTTTGGATTCAGCAACCCTGAACAAAACGTTCCAAGCAGCACGGGCTATGGTGATCCCGACGTACTTACCTGGCACAGGAGATGAACTAAGGGCTGCTGTCCATGTTGTTGTTTTAAATTCAGCTACTCTGAACAAAAAGTTCCAAGCAGCACGGGCTACGGTGAGCCCGTAGTAGACTAACGTGGGATAGGAGCGGGGCTGTGCGTAGATTACGATAATCTCGTGATAATGCCATTTTCACTCAATGGTAACCATCGATAAGTACCATCCCAAAATAATTTCGAGAGCAGGATGGGCTGAGAGCACCTTCTATAGGATCGTAAGAGAGCCTTTAACTCTGTTCCACTCTTATGGGCTATTCATGCCCGTGCCACCTCTTGGGTAGCTTAATCTTTATCAATCAATCTTCCACTCACGAGGTTGCTGCACAAACATGAAAATCCCTCTGGAGCACCCGGGAGAGTGCTAGACTGGCTGAGATAATCCTTATCTAACAGGAAGCACAGCGTAGCACTGTAGAGATCAGAATGGCGGGGCAAAATATAAGTGAAGTGACGCAAGCTCTGATAGGAAGGATATGGAGTGTACTGTCACTCATAGCATAGGTATGGGATACATTTCTCCTCATAGGATGGGTATGGGGTGCACTATCTACTCATAGGATAGGTATTGGGTGCACTTCCACTCACAGGATGAGTATGGGGTGCATATTAAATGAAAATAATAAATTAACGCACCCCTGTATGGATAGTCAATAAGCAGAGTGTCCTGAAAGAAGTGGTGGAAGTCGCTTCCATCCACATCTTGAGTGGCAGATACGAGCAAGAGCTCTAGCGGCACTGTGAGGTGAGCACAGCGCCGTGACTCATGACCCGAGGAAGCTCTACATCCTCACATGAGCGTGAGTCACCTCTTATGGTGACGTCGGCAACACCACAACTCTATTCCCTCTGTTGGCTTAATATAGTTGTTACTAGATTACTTTATTTTAGGATACTGGAATTCTCTCTGTCTCTCTCTCTCTGTCTCTGTCTCTCTCTCTCTCTCTGTCTCTCTCTCTCTCTCTCTGTCTCTCTGTCTCTCTCTCTCTGTCTCTCTCTGTCTCTCTCTCTCTCTCTCTCTCTCTCTCTCTCTCTCTCTCTCTCTCTCTCTCTCTCTCTCTCTCTCTCTCTCTCTCTCTCTCTCTCTCTCTCTCTCTCTCTCTCTCTCTCTCTCTCTCTCTCTCTCTCTCTGTCTCTCTCTCTCTCTCTCTCTCTCTCTCTCTCTCTCTCTCTCTCTCTCTCTCTCTCTCTCTCTCTCTCTCTCTCTCTCTCTCTCTCTCTCTCTCTCTCTCTCTCTCTCTCTCTCTCTCTCTCTCTCTCTCTCTCTCTCTCTCTCTCTCTCTCTCTCTCTCTCTCTCTCTCTCTCTCTCTCTCTCTCTCTCTCTCTCTCTCTCTCTCTCTCTCTCTCTCTCTCTCTCTCTCTCTCTCTCTCTCTCTCTCTCTCTCTCTCTCTCTCTCTCTCTCTCTCTCTCTCTCTCTCTCTCTCTCTCTCTCTCTCTCTCTCTCTCTCTCTCTCTCTCTCTGTCTCTCTGTCTCTCTGTCTCTCTCTCTCTCTCTCTCTCTCTCTCTCTCTCTCTCTCTCTCTCTCTCTCTCTCTCTCTCTCTCTCTCTCTCTCTCTCTCTCTCTCTCTCTCTCTCTTTCTCTCTCGCCAGAAGGGTGCCATACTGCGACATACCACTTGCCGGAAAGGTGACGCACAGGACGTACAGTCTGCAGGATTCGAGCTCCGGTTCCTGTTTTCCGCCCTTCGGCAGTTGGTCGTTTCGTGCAATAACTTTCTGAAGCCTTGCTCTCCCTTGCACTATCTTCCTTTCCACTTGCTCTCCCTTGCTTCCCCTTGCACTACCTTCCTTTCCCCTTATTCTCCCTTGCTTCCCCTTGCATTACCTTCCTTTCCCCTTACTCTGCCTTGCTCTCCCTTCGAGAGGGGAGAGGAGGGAGTTATCAAGGGGAAAGCGCCAAGCCATGACGACTATATAGCACTGGGAAGGAGGTCATGATTAGGATTTGGGATGGGACGGGGGATAAGGAATGGTGCCCAACCACTTGGACGGTCGGGGATTGAACGCCAACCTGCATGAAGCAAGATCGTCGCTCTACCGTCCAGCCCAAGTGTTGGGGGTCTCCCTTCGAGAATGAATTTTTTTTTCTTCTATTGTTGCCGCCAGGGGCGACTAATTTATTGTTCACCCCCAAATACAATTTCACTGCACGCCTTGTAATTATAATGACAGCTTGTAACAATTCTTTTGCATTTTAACATCAATGATTATACAATATAGTATTATACATTTGTGGTATGTCTTTTTGTTAGTACAGAAAATAATTTTCCATTTACAGGATAATGAAAGAGTTGCTGAGGGGCTCACACCTGTTACACCTGGCGTTGACCAGCGCCACTCCCGCCATCTTGCGGTGGCGGGAGTGGTCTGCACTACCATTCCCGCGAGGTGATCGTTGCTAATTAGAATATTATGCTACATTAGCCACACTTCCCCGCCCGGTCGTTCTTCTCAAACGGCATCACTTTCCCCAGAGGAAGGCGAGAGAGCAGAGGGCGAGGACAGCGGAACGATGCAGCACCGTGTGGAGGACGAGTCGCCCGACACCTCCGTCACTGGCTCCGACACCAGTTTTGCCGCAGCCAAAGATTTTGTGATGAAGGAGATCGCCAAGATGAGATGGCTGACGCCCTGTCAGGTGGCCGTGTTGACGTTGGCGGTGCTGTTGTCCGTGTTGAGCATGGCCATGTTGCTCGGCGGCTACCAGGCCATCATCAACTGTATTCTGCACTCGGTGAGTTGTGCTTCTCCACTACAGGTCTGACGCTCTCGCTTCAAGTATTGGTAATACTTTGAAACTGATAAAATTTTTGAATAAAAACTGAGGAGGATCGAAATTCAAATACTTTATTCATAAATGTTGTGTACATTAATAATAGTTTACACTTCAGTAGACTACAAATTATTAATGTAGCTTTGTGAACGCCTTGGTTGTTTCATAATTACTAAGATTCACACAATATATAGTTACAGGCAGCCATTGGCTATAACGATGGTTAGTGGGGAGAATGGGTCAGATCTATCACTTTACACACACAGTTGGGAGTTAATAGGGTAGCAATTCCAAAAACTGCCTTGCTGCCAGAGGTTGTTTGTTTACTCTATTTTAAAATTGGTTGTACGTGGATGGTTTGAGGCATCATCTGGAGTATTCGGCTAGTAGGCTATTCAATAAACTAAAATGTCAGAATGCAAAACTATTAAAGAAATTAAAATGTGCCCCTCTCCAATGCCCCCCCCCCCCCAAGTAATTTGGGTATTACGTCGGGTATATTGTAACTGGTTTGTGACCGGTTCCATGTTTGCATGGAGGTTCTTTACGCTTCCCATTTGACGTTTTGTGCCCGGATAGTTGGCAACCTGCTCAAGGCTTCACTGGTTCCTGTACTACCCATCTTCATGAGGCTCCTCCCGTGAGTTCCCTGCCCTCCTGCAGGAGTTTAGCCAGAAATCTATTTTGCAGTACTCCCCGACTGATATCGGAAACATTCCTATAGTGAGTACTTTTACAGTTACGTTCTTACTGCAGCGTTTGGAGGTCGCGGAGGACTCTGAGTCGTACGACTTGTGGAGGACTACCCCGTTCCCTCTGATACTGAAGTTGTACCTCTTCAACCTGACCAACCCGGAACAGTTCAAGAGAGGAGCGAAGCCCGTCCTGCAAGAGTGTGGGCCCTACGTCTGGAGGTAGGTGGCGTCAAGACCTGGCTGTGTTGGGTCTACACCCGGGAAAGGTGTGACAAGGGTAAAAATTTGTATCACATTAATAGTACAAGAATAATATTTGTTAGTGATGCGGAAATCTATGTGCATTATATATAGTTGTCCTAAAGATCGGCTCGATTATGGCATATATACAATGTTGTGCATCTACCAAATTATGACACGCCTGGCCTGACATCGGATCCACCACTGACCGGTCTCACCTACGACAGAGAGTACCACGAGAAGATGAACGTGACGTTTAATGCCAACTCAACGGTGACATACCTGCAGCAGCGTTGGTGGGTGTGGGACGCCCACCTCTCCGGCAACGCCTCTCAGCACGACCTCATCTTCAGCCTCAACACCGTCCCTGTGGTGAGCCCTGGACCAGTGCTAGGTCTACCCCATGTCCTACTATTTACATACCTGACACTCAAGATTGTATTCAATAACAACTCCCTCAACTTGCAGAGATATTAAAACCAAGGTTTCATTACACTTCTACGTGTGGTGTCAAGACTTGCACCACAAGCCTTGGTGGGAATGTTTTAAAATGGAAGTTTTAGCTTATCGTTACAGGCATAATTATTATTCTCTGGTCAGTCGGCCGTGTGGGCGGTGCGGGACCACGAGCTCTACTTGGCGGCTCTCAACAGAATGTTCAACGAATTGAATGAGAAGCTCGTCGTCTCCTCCACCGTCAGCGACATTGTCTTCAATGGCGTCGAGGTATGTGGTGTGTGGGGAGGGATGGAGGCTGGTGAGTGGGAGATGAGGGGCGAAGGGAGTAGAGATTGGAGTGTAAGAGGATTGATTATTTCGTTGAATATCAATCGGCAAATTGTAGTGTATTTTCCTTGAATCTAATACACAGCTGATATACGGTGTCACTCTACAGGACCCTGTACTAGACTGGATACAGAAAGAAGTGGTGGCCAAGAATGGCACATACCACTTCCTCTTATCTATAATCGGCGAGGATTCGGCCATCGTCAACTTCGACAAATTCGCCTGGTTCTACAAGGTATGTCAACACACTGGTCGACCAGCGGACAAGGACTATAATCGTCTAATTCCAGATATGTGAATTCGTATTTCCGTGAATAAATTCCTTCAAGTATTTGCATTTAAAGATGGGTAACTTAGGTTCATATTTTGTCCTGACCTTTGATCCTTGCTACTAAAGGCTTTGCAGTTCAGTCAGATGAATACTCCCTTGTCCAAAAAAAACTCTAGGATAAGATGGCCAATTGAGTGATTTAAATGGCATTGGAAGCCTATTTAAAAGTTATTTATTTTCCAAAGTCTATTTTTAAATTGTGGTCACTGACGTTGGCACACATAAGAACATTAACCATTTCCCTGGTGATGGCCGACTGGGGGGTAAGACAACCAGTACAGATGCACAACACTTTTAAATAATAAGTCTCGACTAACAGTAATGTAGGTATTTTAAAATTATAAAATGCATAGTTTTTGATTCTGGCAATACAAAAACGGTACATAATTATTTCAGACTAGCTCTATATCCTGATTAGTAATGAACATAGAGAACAATGTGTAACACTGTACATGCCTCAGTGCCCCGCGTATATGAGGGTAAATAACTAACGTAATTGTGAACAGGGAAGCGCCTGTGCACTCAAGCGCTTTCCTTTTCAGGCATAACTTTTGCTATGTTGTGCATGAATTCTTACATTTTTAGAATCTACATTACACACACACATCACAATAGCGTGATGCATCAAATCTACATTAATTACTCTTGATGGTAATTTGAGAGATTAATGAAGTATTGTTTTTTTTAAATAGATTTTAAGTATAATTAAAGGCAAGTTTCGTTCCTGTAGCGCAATATGTCTGTGGACTACGATGGTTTGTTCAACATGAAGACTGGTGCCGACTCCATCGCTAACCTGGGTGAGACTTGCACTTTTATAATATTTCGATGGTTGACTGCAGATATTTCTAAGGTGTAGTGAAGTATGAACCATCAGTTTTATATTGTAAATACTGGTAATTTATAGATTAATTGCCAAACTGTAAAGTAATGTTAACAATCTTTCAACGAATGGCAGGTCATGTTATTGGGAAAACCTGGCAGTGAATGAATAGGTTTACCGATTTAAATTCTTGATCAGATGCCAGAATTTCATTACTTGTGTTGACGGTATACAAGCAATGCCAAATTACTTTGATACTGGTATCCCTTCAAGGGATACCAGTATCCCTTGGCCCCCACCTGACCGTGGTGGAGGCCTCACGTACAACACTTCCTGCTTATTTCTTTCTCTCATCCTCCAGCTTGTTCTGGTACCCTTAACTTCACTGCTCTCTCGGTCCAGCATGCTCTTTGACCCCTTTTTTCAATCGAACGTTTATTCCACCACTGCTCACCTTTAAGTGGTATACTCTATCTCTCTACATCTTATTTCTCTTCTCGATCTTAAACCTTGCGCTGCGTTTGGGTAACTAACTATTGGCACTCTAAAAGATGGGGGGGGGGTGGGGTGGTCTTGCTAAAACCCTGCGACCGTCTTTTGGGAACATTTTCTCTGCTTCTCCATTTTCCTGAGTTTGGGCATTCTCCTACCCATACTCCCGGAGATTAGTATCTTCACGGCGGAATTGTGTGCTCTTAGGCAGCTAATTTTAAGGCGTCAGTGTTTGTCAGTGGTTGACTCAGTGCCGTCATGCCTTCAGTAATTTTAACCTTTGGCATCCTGTGGTGGTGGAAATACAATACTGACTGTTTATCTCTTAACAGAATTTTTAGTCAAATGCTGCTGTGTTCCCAGCCATATTTGAGTTACCTTAAACTTGCGTACACCGCCACTGAAGAGGCCATTTCCCGAAAAGGATTCATTATTCAGATTTCTACTCATTCATTCCACAATCTATGACAGTTGGCAAAGTCGTTGGTCTGACATTACAGGTTACAAACTGTTCGCTCATAAAGGGGATCTATTCCCCTTGGCCTTTCTCCTACCACGGCGGAAAAGGGCTGCCTAGGTTGGTTATTGGCCACATGCGCTTAACTAGTGGGTGTCTAATGAACAATGCCCTGCTCCTTATTGTCTGAACTGCACCGTAACCACATAATCTTGAACCTTCTCATGAAATATCCCGTTTTTCAGGGTAATCATGCGTCTTGCTTTGGTAATGCCCCTCCGGCCTGCTTTTTCCTTGATTAAATCCTTGAATAAGATACCTTTGATGTCCCTCGCTTTATTTTTCTCGTATTGGCATCCAGAGAGATTTATTACCTTTTTTTTGTTAATATCCTACTGTACAGACGGTGCTACATAGTCTCCCCGACCTGGTGCCTTCTTTTGATAATCAACTTGAATACTGGTGAATGCTCAGTTCAAAGCAGTTATGTAGAGTTAAAAATACCAAATTGGAAAGTGTGTACATATTTTGTTAATAAATTTTCCCCCAAACTTAATGCTTTGTTTGACATGTTGATCTGGCAGGTGACATAGACTGGTGGAATAAGGAGCGAGATACGTCATATTTCCCTCCCCCCTGCAACCATCTCAGTGGGTCTGCCGGAGAGCTCTTTCCACCTGACAGTAACAAGACGTCTCGCACAGTCTTCAGTTCAGACCTCTGCACGTACGTGACAAATGGCAGGGGTTAAGAGTGATCTAGTAGGGAGGGGTAGTATGGGGGCGAGATTGTTCAACACTCGCAATGGAACCTTGTTAATAATATCAAATTGATCGATAAATACGAATGGCAAAAAACTGATTTGGTACGCATGACAGTTTAATTTTGAATAGTCAGTGCACTCTCCATTATATGTGAATAACCCTGAATGGTGACAATTTTTTTTTATTGCTACTGTATTTCACTTCTCTTTGGTGTAGGAGTATAGAGTTGTTCTACAAGGAGACGACCTACGCCAGTGGTGTGCGTGGTTACCGCTACTGGGGCACCAACCACACCTTCGCCAATGGCAGCGTTGTTGCAGACAGGGCATGTTACTGCGTCAAGGGCACCTGTTCCCCCACTGGTGAGTGTCAGTGCCTGCCGGCGCACACGCCACTACTGTATTCCCATCTCTAAACGGAGACGCGTTTTAATTTACACAAATTTGTAATATTTTGGTTCAGGTCTACTGAACGCAGAGTCGTGTCGCATGGGCGCCCCGGCCTTCGTCTCCTTCCCGCACTTCTTGATGGCCGACCCCTTCCTTCTCAAAGCAGTCACCGGCCTCGCTCCGGACGAGAGAAAACACGCCTTCGCAATCGACATCATACCAGTGAGAGTCCGAAGTCTTGTGTTAGTTGGATACTAATAAGAATGTGCTAAATTAATTTGTCGGTGGAAACTGAGGGAAGTTAACAATGGCAAATTGTAATTTTCCACAAAACTAAAACTCCAGTCTCGGACTGGGATAAAGCAGAGAAAACCTTTTTTTTCCACTGTTTAGATTTTGTCAACTGGTATTTTTAGTATATTTATAGTATATAGTACTCTTTATAGTGTATAACACTGGCCATATTTTGTATTATTACTAATTTATGCAGGTATTTAGAGGACAAAAAAATTGTCAGAAGGGTTAACAAAAGATAATGACTATGCAGAAATCTCTCTCAAGGCAGCCCGCTTGAAGGTGCGCGAGACGTTTTTAGACGTGTTGTGGATGGTGAGTGTGTAGTGCCTGTGAGAGTTGTTAGTGGCTGGAGGAGAGTACAAATGGTTTGTCGAAAAAATGGAGGGAAGACATTTTTATACTCTGCATTTGCATGGGAACTTGCAAATATAAGAGCATACGTCTTGACGCAGCGGGTTAGATGTGGGGGACGTGGTGGTCCTGTCATGTTTCATAACACGGGAAAATGGTAATTGTCTTCATCCATATTGTTGAGTAAATTTGAGTGGTTTAGTTTTATTTAATGCATGGTTTTAATTCAGATTTAAAGTGTGGTCTGTCAGGATCTGGTCAGTCGCAAGACTGGATCACAGCCTTTAACTGTAGGATAAATAGTAAAATTCTTTGGAAAGTCTGTAAACTTGAGCCTAAATAGTAACGCTCATCGTAATTACAAAGAAAAGAACATTAAGAATTTTAACATAATCAGTTATATCTAAGACACTCAGGCTGCCTGCAAGGTTGTAACTCTTTGTGCTTTGCCTCAGGTAGTCATCTTTCTTCTTTTAAGAACATAATATAACTGGGTGATGGGTTGTTAAGCATTGTACGTGATGTACAAGAGCGTGGTATTAATGTTGCTTTAGACTGTCACATCCGGGTAATGTAATTAATATTATTTAATACGATTGTAATTAATAATTGTATGCTTGAATAGTTATATATGAAATAAGTGTGATCAGATACTGTGACACTTGTTACCACACTTCGCGAGGCAAATTAAACATTATCGTGCTGCATAATTTGTGTTCATTTAAGTTTGCATGACCTTGGCAGTAAGTGGGTCTTAGTGACTCAGGCTGGGGCAAGACTCACGCTGCACACTTGGTCACGCCCCATGACTCCGTGTCTCTCCACACACTACCTGCCAAAAATGGCGTATCGATATTATGTTAATACGGTAATTAAAAAATTATAAAATTTCAACATGGCCCCCCTAAAGTTTCCCAAGAAAGTTCTCTGGAAATGGCCTGGACCAAAGAACTTTTTCTACTCAACCCAAGTTTATAAATATAGGAGGCGAGCAACTAGCCCGGGTGTTGTGTGCAGCGTGAGTGTTTCATGTACAGTATATGGTGTTTGTGTTGCAGGAGCTGGGTGTGCCCATGAGGGTGGCTGCCAGGCTGCAGATCAACATGCGGGTTCTTCCTTACCCCGGCCACAACATGATGCACTTCGACAGGATAGAGTAAGTCCTTCCTCTGACGATCCACGTGTGCGCTAGTCTTAGGCTCCCTCTAGTTGTAAATCAGGCCGGTGATGGTATTTTCATGAATTTCAAACTTATGATATTCTATTATAATGGTACTAGTATCTTGCAGCATCTGAAAGCTACGTCGTTTTTGGCTCTGCTCTGAAAAATGGTAAAATCGTTCAACGTGGTTCACTGTATAGTCTTAAATCCAGTAATGACGTTATCGAATCTCCAGCTGACATAAATCCTTTGACTTCGCTGGGTTTCACGGGGCTGTGCCAGGTGCTGAGGAGGCTCTTGGAACAGCACGAGCACTTTGACTCAACCAGTACTCAGACAAAATCCATTACCATGAGACGTCACACTCGCCCTCAAAGCACCTAGAAAGTTGTCTAGATATTTGTGATGGTCAGAAGCATATTATGGTTCCACTAATAGTCTACATGTAACTTGGCAAATTGAATCTCTATCGTAAACAGATTATTCTCAAGTTATAACTTTAATACAAATCGTTGGTTTAAGTGTGCTGAAAACGTTTTCTTTGGAGAATTTCGTTTTCTGTAAACGGAATTCGTGGGCACACTTAGTTTTCGAATTCCACATTTCACATTATCGTTAATAATACAGAGTATTCACGTAATAAAACCTTAACCGAAAGTAACCTTAATCTAACCGTGTACAGAGTAGATAATAGCACAAATTATGTAGTAGTTCCCAATTCATTCCATTGAAGAGCTCTCCCCTCTGAGGATAGGTTGTGACCACGTATAGTGCAAGACGCTGCTGTACCCAGACTATTGTCAAGTTATTAATAACTCCATCTATAACAATTGGCAAGAAATTGCATATAACGTGAAACACGTCGATAAAGATTAAGCTAGTAATCTTTCCTAGGTATGCTGCACACCGCGGCAGACGGTGGGAAGGTCTTAGCTGAGCAACCCGTCCTCATAAAAATAACGTTACTTTTGGCTCGTATGTGCGCTATGGCCAAATTTGGACGTAATTTGAAATGAAATACTCACAAAAGTGACGTACTGTTCCGTTTTCGGTTTGAGTCGTCCGGCTTACGTGGACAGGTTAGAAGAGGAAACTTTCAACTAACGTTTTCAATAACGTTTTGAAACTTTGAGAATTTCCTGCCCACCTAACCTATCAGAGGACCCTTAACTTACTGTTGTTGAAAAAAAAATCCCAAATTTATTTTCATTTTTTTTTTCATTTTCAAATTACGTCCAAATTCGGCCATACTGGCAAACGGCCAAAAGCGACGTTCTTTTTAAGAGGACAGGTTTCACAAGACACTTGTGACTTGCCCATTTCGGTGTCATTCTTATACTGCCGAAATTTTGACTTCGCGCTCACATTCATTATCGGTCCTCAAAAAACCATGCTGAGCACTTCTTCAGATTCATAACTAACGTGGTGCATCGTCCCAACGGGAAGTGAGTGCATTGTCGTCATGGGAGGGTAGAGGCGTGTCCCGAGGAAGGGTTGGCGTGTGTCTAAGGCATGATTGATGGCATTTTTATACAATAAAGGAAAAAGCGGTTATTATTGTAACATTGTAGATATAATGCATCCATCTTTCTGTTTGCAGCATCTTGAGAAGAGTGCCGGATGTGTATCTTCCAATGTTGTGGTTTGAAGTGCTGGCTGAAATGACACCAGAGATGGCTACAGATCTTCGGATAGTTTTGTTTATTATAAAGTCTCCCATCACTAGCAGCCTCGTGTGGTGGGTGATGTTGGTGTTGGCGGTGTTCATAGTGATGGCCGTGATCACATTCCACTACAGGCGGGTGGGTCGCACCATGAATTTGGAGTAACACTGTAAACATTCCAAATTCCTCAGCTGCAATGACGCTTAAATCTTTCTTGCGCGCGCTTGTGCACAGCTTTACCATGTATAGTGCCCAGGAACAATGGTTAGTTTTGTTACCATAAACTTTGAAATTTTAAGTAGAAAGGTTATCTCTGGTTCTCATTTTGTTAAAATATATATTTGACGGAGCTGTCATGCATTCACGACAGCTGTATTATACGTTTACGTTATCTGAAGATTCTCATTCCTTGTGTGAAACAAGTTAATCATTATTTAATTATGATTTGAGCATATTAATATCTTTTGATGCTGTACTTTGTTTTACGTGTACAATTTTATATTATATCTAAAAAAAATGTCAATTATAACTGATTGATTATCCAAACATTGAGATGCAACCTGCAAATTCTAGTCAACGTATTAGTGTGTAATTTTTCCTTTTACACCTCCAATAAAAATGTATACCTAGAGGGGAGAGCTGAAGAACGACGATGGAAGTCTAGAAAATGTTAAGAAATCTGCTAATATGAAATATCTTTGGGCGATTTAATAAAAATACAGTAGAGTGAAATATGCGCACATTTGTTTAATACTTTTTAACCAGAATGATTTTTGATTTGTAGAGACAACCGCTAGCTTAGAATTTGTAGATGTAGTCTGCATAGTTATTAAGAACTTATCCAGTCCCAAACTGCCCTCCCCCCTCGGACGAAAAACCTAGATCACTGACATTTTATTCCAACTAGATAGTGCAAGCAATGTACAATTTTATTAAAGTGAAAGGTCATTGCATTGAAGACGACCAAATAAAACTGTTAAAGATCCATCCCAATTGTGACTTGATACACAGCTTCCTCTTCTCGTCTCACAGTCGCCATGAACTTGGCTCGCAAGCTAGTATTTTCTGTTTTCCTTGTGTCCTCGGCCTCCACCATGCAGGTGAGGCCGTCCAAGCCCAGTATGACGCGACCAAGGCGGAGGGCAGGGATGTCCCCCACGTCTCTCACTGCCACACACAGGTTAGGACGCCCGCTAGAGTCATAATTCACTATCACGTCCCCTCGCTTCACTCCGCCTGTAGCAGGTGGGAGCCCGTACCCTCCGTCCACCACCTGCACACCGGGGAAGCTAACTTTCACTGCCAACTGGGCGGACGGTGTCCCAGAAGCGCCGACTGTTGAGTAGGAAGCCACGAGGCGTGTCCTGTACTTCCCACCCATCATCAGCTGCTTCTCCACCAGTGTAAATGTGTCTTCACAGGGAGCGAAGCCTTTTTGACGTAGTGTAGCCGGAGACATGGTGGCGACGCGACGCCGGCGCTTCAGGTACTCTCTTATATGGTCTTCAGCCGGCACCATGATCATAGTCATGTCCAGGTGCTCGTGGTCACTCACTTGGATGAAGTATCTACCAAGACACCATATTTAAAATTAGTGTCAAATGTGAGTATAAATCTACTTTTAACTTAATATTTGTATTTATATTTAAGTAACATTCAAAGTCTGAGGAAACGACTGGATAATCCAACCGTTCTTTAAGGTTATGCTCGTCACCACAGCAGCCAATCATAAGGACACGTTCATCAATTTTAATAAATAATTTTAAAGTGCTGTCAACCGCGGGAGAATTATCAAGGCCACCACAAGATCCCTACTGGCCCTCCAATAATTTATATTTAAGCTTTAATTAAAAGTATATTTTATCCTTAAACAATTCAGAGTAACGTAAGCCCTCGGTGCACATACAGAAAATGGAGTACATTGATGAGTGTGTGTATCGCGTCTCACCTGATGTCCGGGTTGAAGATGATGTAGGGGACGAGGGTGGAGAGGACGGCGTGGCGGGCGTTGTGGGGGAAGGGCTCCTCCGTCGCGCCCCCACAAGGTCTCCCTTTACCTGGGCTCGGGCTCCGCTTCTGCAGAACATGCAGTCGTTACGGGCAACACCATTCTACTATAATAATATTAATGTTTATTACGAGTTTATTAATATAATCGGTCCCCCATGGGTGTTCGGACGCGACCCAGTTGACAGTGTGGGATGCGAGTCTCATGTTAGGCAAAAGCAGAGATGATAGACGGTCTGAATTTCTCTCCTGATCCCTGTAAAAATACATGGCATTATCCACTCCGGTTTGTTTCTGTTGGAAGACTTATCCTGACGCAAAAATAAATGGGTAGAGACTTCCTCTGTGGGAGTTTAAACAAAAATATATATCTAAATATTTAGTGAATTATTACAATGGGTGCGAGAACCATACGAAATACTACAAAATTCTTGTAGTGAAAACCTTCAATGTCAAATGAAATTCTGAAACTAGATATCTGTGTGTTCAATCATGTGTGGTGACAATTGTGTAATTATGTTAAGATGTCAGAAAACCATGTGTAATTAAATTCGTTCACCTACACTATGAGAAGACCCGTGGGTATATAGCAGGGACCCCGGGGGCATATAGCAGAGACCCCCGGGGTATATAGCAGAGACCCCCGGGGGTATATAGCAGAGACCCCCGGGGTATATAGCAGAGACCCCCGGGGGTATATAGCAGAGACCCCCGGGGGTATATAGCAGAGACCCCCGGGGGTATATAGCAGAGACCCCCGGGGGTATATAGCAGAGACCCCCGGGGTATATAGCAGAGACCCCCGGGGGTATATAGCAGAGACCCCCGGGGGTATATAGCAGAGACCCCCGGGGGTATATAGCAGAGACCCCCGGGGGTATATAGCAGAGACCCCCGGGTGTATATAGCAGAGACCCCCGGGTGTATATAGCAGAGACCCCCGGGTGTATATAGCAGAGACCCCCGGGGGTATATAGCAGAGACCCCCGGGGGTATATAGCAGAGACCCCCGGGGGTATATAGCAGAGACCCCCGGGGGTATATAGCAGAGACCCCCGGGGGTATATAGCAGAGACCCCCGGGGGTATATAGCAGAGACCCCGGGGGTATATAGCAGAGACCCCCGGGGGTATATAGCAGAGACCCCCGGGGGTATATAGCAGAGACCCCCGGGGGTATATAGCAGAGACCCCCGGGGGTATATAGCAGAGACCCCCGGGGTATGTAGCAGAGACCCCCGGGGGTATGTAGCAGAGACCCCCGGGGGTATATAGCAGAGACCCCCGGGGGTATGTAGCAGAGACCCCCGGGGGTATGTAGCAGGGACCCCCGGGGGTATGTAGCAGGGACCCCGGGTGTATGTAGCAGGGAACCCCGGGTGTATGTAGCAGGGACCCCCGGGTGTATGTAGCAGAGACCCCCGGGGGTATGTAGCAGGGACCCCCGGGGGTATGTAGCAGGGACCCCCGGGGGTATGTAGCAGGGACCCCCGGGGGTATATAGCAGAGACCCCCAGGGACCCCCGGGGGTATATAGCAGGGACCCCGGGGGTATATAGCAGAGACCCCCGGGGGCATATAACAGGGACCCCGGGGGCATATAGCAGAGACCCCCGGGGGTATATAGCAGAGACCCCCGCGGGTATATAGCAGAGACCCCCGCGGGTATATAGCAGGGACCCCGGGGGCATATAGCAGAGACCCCCGGGGGTATATAGCAGAGACCCCCGGGGGCATATAGCAGAGACCCCCGGGGGCATATAGCAGAGACCCCCGGGGGCATATAGCAGAGACCCCCGGGGGCATATAGCAGAGACCCCCGGGGGTATATAGCAGAGACCCCCGGGGGCATATAGCAGAGACCCCCGGGGGCATATAGCAGAGACCCCCGGGGGCATATAGCAGAGACCCCCCGGGGGTATATAGCAGAGACCCCCGGGGGCATATAGCAGAGACCCCCCGGGGGCATATAGCAGGGACCCCCCGGGGGCATATAGCAGGGACCCCCGGGGGCATATAGCAGGACCCCCGGGGGCATATAGCAGGGACCCCCCGGGGGCATATAGCAGGGACCCCCGGGGGCATATAGCAGGGACCCCCGGGGGCATATAGCAGGGACCCCCCGGGGGCATATAGCAGGGACCCCCGGGGGCATATAGCAGAGACCCCCCGGGGGCATATAGCAGAGACCCCCGGGGGCATATAGCAGAGACCCCCGGGGGCATATAGCAGAGACCCCCCGGGGGCATATAGCAGAGACCCCCGGGGGCATATAGCAGAGACCCCCCGGGGGCATATAGCAGAGACCCCCCGGGGGCATATAGCAGAGACCCCCCGGGGGCATATAGCAGAGACCCCCGGGGGCATATAGCAGAGACCCCCCGGGGGCATATAGCAGAGACCCCCGGGGGTATATAGCAGAGACCCCCGGGGGTATATAGCAGAGACCCCCGGGGGTATGTAGCAGAGACCCCCGGGGGTATATAGCAGAGACCCCCGGGGGTATATAGCAGAGACCCCCGGGGGTATATAGCAGAGACCCCCGGGGGTATATAGCAGGGACCCCCGGGGGTATATAGCAGAGACCCCCGGGGGTATATAGCAGAGACCCCCGGGGGTATATAGCAGGGACCCCCGGGGGTATATAGCAGGGACCCCGGGGGTACATAGCAAGAGTAAGCTACATACTTTTAAGCAACCTTAAAATCTTTTAAAACTTGAAAATAAAGGACAATGCAGAATGCCTATTGGCCCATACGAAGCAGCAGCTATTTATATCCTCAAAAACTGAATATATATATATATATAACCTACGATTGAAATAGTCCACAGATCTCACTTCTATAATATTTTCCGGTAAACTGTTCCATAAATCAGGAAATCCAAAATCCAAATCGGTATTTACCCAGGTCTTTCCTAAATCTTGACTTATGAAATTGATACCCATCAATCTTACAGTCAGTAACCCCCTTCGGCCGTTTCTCTGGCACAGGGGGCGAGACGTACCCTGGCTGACGGGGAGACCTGAAGGACGTCCCGGCTGCGGAGCGGACTCTCCGACAGGTAGGGCTGGAGAAGGTGGATCAGGTGAACCCACGGTGTTGGCATTACCCAGTCCCCCATCCTGTACCAGAAATCACAATACTCTGTAGAGATCAACGATTGTTTGTTGGGTGTATAGTTCACACTTATTACAAGAGTGGGGGGGGGGGGGCAAATGTATACAAATCAGATTCATGCCAGTAATACGTATGAGGAATATGAACCAAGTGTAAACACTGTTTTACTTTCTCCAACAACGCTAATCACCCCAGAATTAGTACTGTGCTAGAAACTGTAGATTGTTTAATGTAGGCATTTCTGTCGGAGCCTCTGGCAGTGTGGGAGTCGACAGTGTCACCGTAGAGACACTATGACGGTGTATACTTCAACATACTATTTAAAAACCACTCTACCGGAAAATGCCTAAGTCGTAGAATATAAATCTTCTGATAATTAGTTATAGATTTATTTTCACTAACAATTGTTCTTCATTAGCTTTATTATACCCTAATAACACCCCTACAGTGCGTTGAATACAAGGCCCTCACAACGATGTAGAGAGAGACTAAAGTAAGAATAAACTATCCTACTATATTGAATCGCCACTTCCGGTAGTCATACTGAAGGAACCATTGTAATACCCCAAAGTCGCTGTAATTAGGCGAGGGGGGGGAGGGGCAGAAGCATGCTTTCGGAGGGGAGGAAGAAGTTAAACCACAAGCAATGGGCTCGTTCCTCACCTTACTACTCTCTTCACCTTTCTCCCATTCTCTTCCCTTCTTCCAAAATCCCTCTCCTCACCCTGTATTTACATCTTCTCCCCCCCTTCTCCTCCCCCTCTCTCTCTCACTCTCTCAGTCAGAAATTTGAAAATTTAATGTTACGAGACACTGAAAAACAGGTAAATAACTTAATAGAAAACTTGACTTCATGAAAATCGCAGGGGGTGGGAAGAGGGGTCACTATAATTGCCGATATTTCTTAGTGTGGCACTGAGGCCAACCCCTAACTGGCTTGAGTAAGTTGAGTAAAGCTAGCCCCAATATTTTTTTATGAACGCGTCTTACCATTAAAGAAATACATCCCATTAGCCAGCTTAGTACATGCACTATTATCATTATTATGCTTATTAAGTTTCCTCCTCTCTTGTACTGTTCAGTGCTTTAACTTTCTGCGACAGTTCCTGGCATTATTTACGTCTGTAATGTGAATCTTGATGAATTACATTGTTTGGAAATTGGCACACATGCTGGTTGTATCGTTGGAGGTGGTGAACACCAACCTGAGGAAGAAATTATCGGTGATTGTAGCGAAGTGTGGAACAGTGATCACCAACCTGAGGTAGACTTTGTCCGTGGCTGTGGCGAGATTGGCGAGGAGTGAACAGCGTAAGGAGAGGAAGACGAGGTCGTCCCAGTCATGCTGGTGCTTCTCCCACTCCTGCAGCTGTTGACGAATCCTTCTCAGGTTCCGGCCGGATGCCACCACTTCCTCCACCTCCTGCACCACCTCCGCCAGGGACGAACAGTCCTTCAAGCGTAGGCTGGAGAAGATGGCTTCGTTCACAGTTGTCTGCGGGCAGTTGCTGTGATTAGGATACATGTAACGGGTTGAAGAGACGAGTTTAGTGGGAGGAGCGTGGGGCGTGCGCGCCTTACCAGGCCCTCGCACACCGAGGTGGCTCAGGCTGATGTTCGCGTCAGTTCATGACAACGATAAATTGATGACAAAATAATAATAATGGTCTGACTAATATTCTGGTGCAATTAAAACAATGACTTCACACAAAGTATCAGGTTGTCAAGAGACTTCAGGCAATGGGTGGTGAGATTATTCGCGACATTATTTCGTGGTTCACACAATGTAACTTTAAGCATTGAACATGTAAGTTATTGATAAATGTAATACGTCTGAAAGCTAAGATAACCTTTTAACAAATGTATCAATGAGCCTTCCTGAAGCACCTAGGGGCA